CAAGGGCCCCCCCCCCCCCCCATTTTTCTCGAGGAGGATTTTTTACGTGAACAAATCACTTGTATTCCTTATTGCTTATGCTTAGACAATTGTGATTATTAGCACACACGTGCACTATATGCTAGATGTTTTGAATGCTTGACAAATAAATCAACCATAGTTGCAATTGGGTTTTGGGATTTGTTATCACCGTCAGATTTAAATATTAATTAACACTAATCTTCATGGGTTCATTGGGGCATGGTTACAAAAAGTGGATCTCACACTAAATTTCTATATCTTTGTGTGAAGAGATCACTGAGGTAGAGTTAGGTTTTAATTGGCAATCGATTGTGTTAAAAATTGAAAAACCTATTCACCCCCCTTTGGGTAGTGTCGTACACATCATGTGCATTTTCGCAAGGGAAGATCCACATCATTTCTCCCCTCTCCCAAAAAAATAATTGGGCTTTTGTTAATATCCAGACTAGATTTTCTTCTCAAATGTGTGAAGTAGGATTAGAAGAAGGTTTTTCCTTAGTCCCTGGGGATCTAGTGTGTTGTTCAAGAATCTCCTAAAGTATGAAAGGCTGAATTCTTCTCACAAAAGAGGTTACCCCACCTTATGAAAGCTCCTTTTTTTTACAGACTCGAAATAGGGTTTGTCTTGGGCACCAAGTAAACTAAAATTCATGAACAACCCCTTGAGTAGTGGGTGGAAGGTCAGAGGGCGGTTGTCACTTGAATGAAAAGAGGATTCCAATTAGAATAACAGAGTAGGGACCGGTCAAGCCACCTTAGGACTACTTAGGCCATCTTGGGCGGTCTCCTCTACCCGACTGTCATTTATCCCTAGGTATTCAGAGGCCACTCCAGACAAAGGCAAGCAAGCAGAAAGCAGCACCTATTGGTTTTTAAGCCAAAAATCAAACAAAATGACTTAATCTATTATTTCAAAATACAATTAAGGTTTAGAAAATATATTTCAATAAAAAGATCTAGGAGCCATTTTTTGATCTTTCAAATTTCATTTATAACACTAATCATCCTAAGTCGAATGAATTAAACCATGGATTCTTAGGTCTGTACGGTTATTACATTTGTCCTAAGCTTGAAAATGTATCAAAGTGATCTTGATGTGGCATTGTATCTCGATCTTCTTCCCTTCATTATCACTTATGGATCTTGATCTTTGAAGCTTGATGATCATGTAATTAGGTTGAGGTTCCATAAGACTTCACGATCCTAACACATTAGGCATGTGTTTTGTTCTTTTTGGTAACTATTTTAGGACTACAAATTTATTTCTATTTTAGAAACCTCATGGTTTAGGATTTCCTATAAGTTTTCCTATGTATTATGGGTTTTAGTGATTCAATCAATAATATTTCAGATTTCTCTCTTATTTTCTCTGTAGATTTAAAGTGCTGTGTGTGTTTGATACATGAAGAAACAATAATTTCTTTGTGTTCTCATTACCTCTATGTCAATTGGTGTCGTAGCCTTGATTGACTTTATATAATTTCTAATCAGCGAAGTTGTGGGAACTTTTCCCATTATGGTGATCATGTGGAAAAGGTTCTTCTGAGAGCTAAATGATTTAGTTCTCCATGTGAAATCCAACAAGCCCATCATGAATTCCATGATCCGCTTACTCAGTTACCATTTGGAAAGAAAAAGGATCCAGATCGGAGTAGGGTTCACAAAAACAATAGGGCTTGTGTTTGGCCTATTTGAGATCTCAATCCTTACCCCATCAGACGATTACATGTTTTTTATTCAGACTCACGATGATGATAATATGTTGGATGTATGGTTTGTTTCGGTAGATAAGTTTCAGATTTTTTTATATGAAAGTTAACCAACTTAACTTCGATAGTTATGTTCATAAAGAAGATTTCCTAAATTGGCTAATCAAGGTTCAAAGATTCTTTGACTATCATGAAATTACTGAGGAATGAACGATAGATGTAGTAGCATACAACTTGAAGGACATGGCTTATAGTTGATCGGAACATGCAAGCTTATCACGTTCCAAAAAGAAAAAAAATCTAAATTCATTATTGTCAAAAGATGAAGAAGCGGTTTAAAGCGGGATTAACTTCCACCTTCATATTATGATGCATATAAAGACAAAGTTTATGAAGTGTATGGTGCATATCAATCTGTGAAGCAAGAAAGGGAGTCAAATTTGAAACAGTTAGCTCGAGGTAGTATTGTGGTTTAATCATTCCCACAATATAATATTTATTTTATAGCACAAGTCTCGAGTACTTGGAAAGATCAGAAGATTAATGGAGAAAAAGAAGATTCAATTGCTCAGGTGTTCAAAAATTATGCAGCTCTATAAAAGAAAAAAATGAAGTTTATCAAGAAGAATCTATAAAAGATAATGATGAGACGAAATCGACTTATGGTGATATTGGTGAGCCTGTTGAAGGTTATCCATAGGAGAAAAGTGAAGACAAAATTAATTACGATGCCACATATGATAATACAACAACTGAAGTCTTTGTAGTTCAACATGACACATCGAGTTTGATGTGAAATCAACGAAGAAGACAAGTTGTGATTACATAGAAGGTAAAATTATGGAAGAAAGCTTCCAGAAGGAAATGATGAGGAACAAGGACTTTGTGGTGTTTCTAATTTGAAGGATAATTTTAGTTTTGATGATTTTCTAACGATATTTGATCTTCATATCTCTAAGTTGTCAGAGGATGACACTTGTGGAAGTAACTTTCTTAACTAACATGACAATTTGAGGGTGACAATAAGTGTGAGCTATGGATTTATCCACGGAGTTAACTCTGATTATCAAACAAAAGTTGATAGTAAGGCTGCACTACGTTCTTGAGTGGAAAATAAGTCAATGTGACATGAACACTAAGTTGACTTTGTTAGATATTTTTCAAGNCATTATTGATATGTATCTTCTTGCTTACTCGTAGACAACTAAGACTTGACATGGGTAATTCTTGGAATCACTGTAATCGAAGTGGTTTAATTCTTTCAAAATCAAATCAATTAATTAGAATACACATTTTTCATTTACAATTTCAGGAAATTCATAAGACTAAGCTATGGTTATCAAAGGATGTTGAATGATAAATTATTTATCAATTCTTGATCGTATAGCAAATCTGCGTAGATGTTGGGGTGTGCTTGGGAAGATCAATTTCAAGTATAAAATATGTGCGGACATGCTTATATATACCCACTTGTGTCAACAAATAAAAACTCAAAGACGAATTTGAAAGGATATTCATAGTGTTGTTCGCGCTTAAAAACGGTGATTTTTTTATATCTACATTCATGTTGTGTCATTTGCATTTATTTATCTATTTAAGGAAAAAGTATTTAATAGAAACATGGTTCATCCTTCTATTAGAGAGATATATCAAAAGGTACCTTCACAATGAATAATCCAAAAATTAAACAGAAGCATTCAAAAAGAATAAGAATTAAACAAAAAAAGAAACCTAAATTTTGCTAAAAAAAAAAGCTATAAAAATCTCTAGAGGCATTTTGGAGGGAGGACAAGGTTAGTGCATAGATTGTCAACCACAATAACTGATTTTGTAGGGACGACAGGGTTGGTATATGAATTGTCAACCACAATACCTTATCCCACCTCTTTATTGTCTACTCTACATCTGCCCTTTCTTAAATATGCCAAAACATACATGTATTGCTACCGTATGTCATATTTTCTCTTGATTTCTTTTCGTTTTCATGGTTCCCTAGAGCCGAATACAAAGAGATTTGTCGGAGATGTGTATCACACACTGTAAGGTGTTGGTACGGGCAAGTCCTTCACAATACCACATAGTGGAGCATTATCAGGAATGTTATATTCATCCCGAAGAGAATGAGCCGGGGAGAGGACGCTGATGTAGAGTTGTTGCCCCAAATACTGTCTCTCCAACGACATTGATCTCAAGTTCCACATTCCAGCATTATCAAGTGTCGTCATTATGGCTGCCCATGATTTTGGGTAGACTTGGATGGTATTCCTACTCACAGCATCAAGAAGATTGTAATTCTTCCTCTTTTCTGGGCTCCACGTTCCTGGTTCGATGCTGCATGTAAGTGGGTATCCAAAGCAACAACATATTAGAATTGAGCAATGTTATAGGGACATAAATGAAGAACCTAATCTTAATAACTTAGTTTTAATGTAATTATTATATTAATTGTGAGTTTTAATGTTAGATGGAATCCACTATCAATTCAATGATTGTATTAAATTAAGTCTCCAAATTAGATTCAAATAGTATTTTTTATGAATAAAAAAAAAAATAGTATTTTCCATGAGAATTATAGATAAAAATCATTTGGTAAGGAGTTTTAGATAAAAAAAATAATCTTTTTGACTAAATTATACATTGACCTGAAGTATGTGCTAATTTCACTTTGGCCCTTCAACTATCGAATTCCTCACATTGTCTGCCCACCTATGTGAATATTGCCCCGAAACCAAACATTCGACAATTTTTAGACTGAAAATGTCAAAAAGTGCACTAAGATATGTGTTTTTAACGTTTGAAATTAAGGCAATATGAAATTAATAATCATAGTTCGGATGTAGGGATCAATATTAAATAAATAACCATAATTAGATGTATAATGTGAGAACCATGATAGATAAAGAGAGAATGTGAGACATGGGAGATAGTTAGAGGGTCGTATAGTATAATTTGCCCTAATTTAAGTGAAAGAGAAGAAAAATGTTTGCTTACCCGACAGGGAAGAAAGAATATCCGGCCAAGTGCCAGGNATTACTTGCTGTGGAACACCCAGAGGAGAGAGAGTGCCATAGGTAACATTCCATGTGAAAAACAAGTAGGGGTCCTCACCATGGACCATCATTAATGTGGAGAGGAGTGATATTAGTGAAAAGAGGATCAATTTCAGACTACCCATCTCGCTTTTCTTTATAGTGTGTTTGAGCTTTTGTTTTGATTTGGGAGAGACTAAAAGAGCATGTTTTGGTGTNCAATGGGTGCAAGGGTCATCTTGTCACTCGCCTCGGCCGGTGGTTCGTCGCCAATATTGTTATATTTGAACACCTTGTCTGCAGCTCCAAAGTACTCAGCAAGCTTAACCGGAGTCGCTGATTCGACGTACGAAACACCGTTGATGGCATACCGGAGCTTGCCATCGANACATGACCTTCTTATATGAACGGTTGGAAGTTAAGAGGGACAAAATGTAAACCGTTGGAATTCCCTTCATTCTCCGCACTCACCGATCAGTGTTTTCCTCGATGTAGTGCGGTCTTCCTTTTATCTCTCCCACTTTCTTTGGTTCGGTTCTTAGTTTTTTGACTCTCTCTCTCTCTGTGTGTGTGTGTGCAGGTCTCCATTTCTAGAGTCCAAATCATTGTCACCCTTTCCTGTTTTCCTTTGCTTTCATAACTAATACATATTAGAAAGGTCCTCACATTAAGTAATTCCTCGTTATGTTAACAAAAAAAAATAAATTATAATATTAGTTGTACTAATTTGAAAACCTAATGTATTATGACCATTATATTGATAGTAAATTTTTATTCAATGCTGCAACGTGATTCTTATTCAATAACTACCATATATTGGATTTTTAAATTAGATATCTAAATTAAATTTTAATAACATTACTCTTACTTATATACTAGATAAAGGTGGCAAACATGAGAGTTGGGCGGTTTGTGGTAGGTGGGTGCATAATGGGTTAAGTGCAATACATGACCAATCCATTTTTAACCTTTTTCAGAAATATGTTGTAATGAGATGGATCATAACCTGAAAAATAATAAAAACTATTGATATAATCACACATAAATACACCCAAAAGATACACAGACTAATATGCTAAAAACAACAAATAAGCAAACTAATATATGAAAAAACACTAATATACTAAAAATCACACACTAATTTACCAAAAAACTCATACACATGTTGGTTTGGTATATTAGTGTGTGTGTGCATATTTTTTTGGTGCATTAATATGTATATGTATATTTGTTTTGTTGTAGTAGTGTTTGTATATACTTTTTTGGTATATTAGTGGTTGTGCTTCTTCTTCTTCTTCTTTTCTTTTTTTGTATTAATGTGTGTGTGTGTGTGTTTATTTTGAGGTATTAGTGTGTAGGTGTGTATGAGGTGGTATATTAGTGTGTATTGACACTGTGTATGTATGTATGTATGTATTTGTATCTATATGTATTTTTTCAGTGTATTAGTGTAAGCCTGAGTAAGGCTTTTTTCTTATTAGTATGTGTATTTTTTATGTATTGGTGTGTATTTTTTTGGTATATTGGTGTGTATTTTTTTATATTAATACCTGAGTGTACATTTTTTTTGTGTGTTAGTTTATGTGTTTTTTTTTCCGTATATTGGGATGGGTGTTTGTGTGTGTTTTTAGTTTATTAGTATGTGTGGGTTTTATTTTTTATGCACTGGGATGGGGGGTGCGTGTGTATTTTTAGTGTATTAGTATGTGCATGTATTTTAGTGTATTAGTATATATTTTTTTAGTATATGTACATGTGTTTGTTTTGTGTATATTTTTTGTGTTTTAATGTGTAATTTTTGGTGCATTAGAGTGTGTGTGTATGTGTGTTATTATTATTATTATTATTTTTTTTTGGTATTAGTGTGGGTTAATAAAATGGGTATTTTGGTGTATTACTATGTGTGTTAAAACAATGTATTAGTATGTGTGTGTGAGTGTATTTTTGTATATTAGTGTGTGTTAACCCAATTTGTATTTTGGTTTATTACTATGTGTGTTCAAATAATGTATAAGTTTTTTTTGGTGTATTAGTATATGTGTGTGTATGTGTTTTTGGTGTATTAGTCAGTATGTTTTTTTTTGTATTAGTGTGTTAATGAGTGCATAATATTTCACATTAAACGGTCTCATTACATTCATTTCAACTTGGTTTTACAATGATTTATTGAAATTTAGTTTAATTTTGGAGATTAATAGAGAAATGTGTGATTGTAGGTGATCGGAATGTAAATACAGGGTTTTAATCACTTTGTAATGTTTTGTTGATAATGGGCAAGAAAGGAACACAAGAGATGAGGTCTTAGGAGTGTTGGAGGGCAAAAACTAATTAGCCGTTACGGTACGGGTTGAGAACCCAAATATTTTTAGAACTCGGATAACGAAACGGATCTCACCGTTGGATTTGTCTCGTAGAATCTAGTTACTCAATTAATTTTCTTTGAATTATGAGAAAGTCAAAATTTTCATGTTTTACGATGCGATCGATTGTTGCGTGACTAAAATAAATACAATCAAATTTTATTCAGGGAATCTGAGAAATAATTTAAAGTTAGTTCAAATAAAATATATTAAATATAATATGAGACAAGATTTAACTGATTCAAGATAAAATCAGATCAGAAAGAGACATGACGTGTGGCTTAATGTGGACCAAGTATTATAGAGTATAAATAGGAAAAACAAATCAGATTTTCTCCTCATTTACCCCATATTTTTCTAGAGAGAGAGAGAGAGAGAGAGAGAGAGAGAGAGAGAAGATGAAGAAGAAGAAGAAGAAAAGAGAGAAAACTCAAGAAATCTCTCACTTCTCCTTACGATCTATGACTATCCATACGTCAAATTGCTTCGTGCCAAGAACAAAAGTTGTTTTATGCGACGAGAGCTACAAGCACGTACCAAAAATTACGGATTTCACCAAAGTCTCAAGAAAGAGATTGTTTGGGTCAAAGTCTTCAGGCTTGATTTGAGTATTTTAAAGCTTCTACCACATAGTATTATGCTTCAAGAAGTATGGTTTTTTTCCTAACTAGGTTTATTTTCAACCTAGGATTTGTATATGAAATGAGTACTATGATTAGAGATGAAATCTCTTGTCCAAATATACTCCTAGTGTAATTAGAGTATGAAAAATGGTATAAGAATGTATAAAATCAATTCTAACATTAATTGGGTTTGTTAAAATTGCTTGTTTGATGATTTAATGAGAAATGTGATAATTTGAGCATGATTAGGTGTTTACATGATTTTGTGCCATATGGGTGTTTGATAAAATACCTTGAATGATATAAACATGTTATTTGAATGAAATAAATATAACATGCTTTGTGAAGATTTTAGAATGTAATTATATGATTTATGATACAAGTTACATTGAGGATTTGGAAATGTAGATAGACATTGGAATTGTTCATAATGTGATCATGACACGTTGAACATGATGTTGTAATTGCAATTGAAAAATTAATTGCATAATCATATGAAATGCAATTGTTCATTACTGTTGTATATGCGCGGGTTGCATCACATTTATGGACATTTAATATGAGTGTGAGTGTGTGCATAGTTTGATCAAACACCATTCTTTGTGGATGAGGCGTTAACTCAGGAAAGTTGGACCAAGGTTCGACTGAGTATCATGAGTTGAATTGAAAACAAGGGTTGGTTATAGCAAGAAGGGATATATTTTTCCTCAGGGTACAAGACCCGGTTACTTGGTTCACTCACTTGGTTGGAAGTAAAATTCCAGAAAAGTGTGTTGGTATACTCAGAACCGAAGGTGTGAGGCCTCAAATGTCATGTCTACGTGGTAAACCGTTGTTGTGAGACCATGAACGTACCTACCCAAGAAAGACCTGGAATTTATAAATGGTCATTGGATGTGTAAAATCAATGGCGAGGGCTTGGAATGCTCGGGTGCATACGCATAACATTGCATGTGTTATGGGAGTCGATGGAGGGCTCGAGTTGCATTGCATGTGTCAGTATCATCTCATGACATTGTATAATCCAATATGAATTGCATATTCTTGAATAAATGTTTGATTGATTGTTTTATTGCATGTTTCATATGCATATAGGTTGGGGAGTAGCCTCTTTAGGAGATACTAGTGTGGCTCACCCTTTATAGGACAACATTTCAGGTGTGGAACTAGCGCTGGTGGATGGCTCTCACATGGGTCCTTGTTGAGAAGAATTTGAAATGTGGCTCTTAATTACATTTTTGTAAAACAATTGTATAATTGGTTTTGGACTTGTGATGTTGTATAACGGAGTGTGTAATGAACTCATATGGACTATATTTTGTGTAAGTTTGCATGTTATCTGAGTTTGGAGGAACTCGGAAAGATTGGATGAGTTGAAATTGAAAATAGAAAAGAATTGGGGAAAAACTAGGCCTTGGTATAGGTACCAAGGTGATTAGGTACCGATACCATGCAGTTGTATGAGCTAGGTACTGGTACCAAGGCTTTAGGTACTGGTGTTCCTATGGACAGTGGATTGAGGTACTGGTACTACGACATGTAGATACCAGAACCTAGCAAACAGTGGGCTCGGGTACCGGTACCCCGTCATCTTGGAACTGGTACCTCACAACTGGAAGAAACCTGAGAAATAAAGGTCTAAGTATCGGTACCCCGTTACTTAGGTACTGGTACTTGGCAGACATAAGGCTTAGGTATCAATACCACATGTAAGAAGTACCGGTATCTCTTTCAAAAATTTTCAAAACTTTAAATATAAGTTACCAAGCCTTCGGCCCTTGAGTTTTCTTGTTTAAAGAATGTAATTGGTACAATATAAGGTGTAAATTGATGGAGATTAGACCTTGGAATGGTTGGGTGATGACGTGGTGCCGGATTATGCAACATGCACGGGTACTTCCGCGAGTTGATGGGTGACCATCGGTTGAGAAAGGACCCTTGAATTTTGGGGTATCACAGCTTGGTATTAGAGCCTAGGTTCTTGATTTACCTAGGGTTTGCGGGGCATGGGTCTAGACCATTGCATCAATTATGCATTACATGTTATGTGCATTAATTGCTACATGATATGTGCTATTTGAATTATATTGATGATCAAATATGTATTGAAATGAGACACTAGGGTTAGAAAACATAACCTTGGGGGTCGGAAAGAAGGAACATTATGGTTCATGATTAAGGTGTCTACTAATGGGTGGCAAACCTCCTACTAGTGAGGCAAGGAAAGAAATCTCAATGTTTTGACTTTGATCCTTATTTTGGGATACTAAGTTAATGCTTTATTGCTATCATACGTGTGTGTAGTTGACAAATAGAGGAAAGGAACACTGGAATGACCGAGGAGGTGTGCAGAACAATAACCAACCACCACCGGTAGTTGATCAAC